AAGTGCTTTAATGACACACAAGCTGGAAATGTTGAACAGAGATTATAAGTGTCATTCGAATAAATATTGACGTTATGACTCCAATGAGATCCAGCGAAACAAGCAACATACCATGCCCTTCATGGTGAAGTCTGTAAGCCTACTGATTAAATGTAACTTAAATATTTTTTCTTGGTTGTGAGGTAAATAAACAGTACACTTGAAATTAAGTAACTCTTGTTTTGTTTGAAGCAACTGTACAAGATAGGATGTATAATTGCCATCTTAATTTTTTGTCACCAATGAATAGCGTCCCTATTTTTGATATTCAAATGTTGGCAGGTATGTAAATATACAGCATTTGATGGACGGACCTGTATGGGGGTGTAGGTATACGTAAAAACCATTACTGGACTACATATCCCTCTAAACTACGTTTACGTACAAAGGAACGTACACACCCGCAGGGTTCTGGTTTAGTATTGAAATGCAGGAGGTCAGGGCTAGCATCCTAGGCCTACTACTAGGCCAGGCAATATTAATCCATATTTGCTAATTTTTCTTATGTTAATAATCTGGTTCTATTTTATAAATTGCCTTTTTCGTATTGTTCTCAATGTTGTGATTTTAGTTTAAAGAAGAACAGCATTAATATTTTTTATTTAAATTTTACTGTTCAATTTTCTATGGTTAAAAAATAAATTATTATTATTATTATTATTATTATTATTATTATTAAATATTATTAATATTATTATTATTATATTATTATTATTATTATTATTATTATTATTATTATTATTATTGTTATTGTTATTATTATTATTATTTAAAATGTTTGCTTCTAAAGCTTTAAGCTTTTCTGATCCAACACAACATAGGACCATATCCACACAACATATTTTACATGACAAAAATAAATCATGACAGAAAACAAGTGACAATGTAATAATACTGTCTACTAGAACATCACTCCAATAATGTCCTAATGACCAGCATACCCCTGCCCTACTGAAGTACTGTATGCATTGCTGGTAGGGACATTCCACGAAGGTCCTAGTGACCTGCATACATACCCTACCAAATATGAATGCTTAAATTAACGGTATTTTACATTATTTGTATCACAATTGGTCTAGTTATATATTGATTTATAGTCATTGAATGTTAATGTTAAATTACTTTTATTTCAATTCATATAAAACAAATTCCTACAAAAATATTGCAATTTGCACTACATAATACAAAACATAAATAATTAAAGTAACTGAATAAAAATAAAATAAATACATGCTTAAATGTGATGACCAGGGGGAGAGAGAATAATGCATAAAAAATTGCTTTTGATTGTATCCCTTCCCACTCATTCAGTTAATATTGTATAAATGTGCACTAGTATTTTATATTATAATGTTTACAAAATAAGAATTTTATTTATTTAATTAAACCATGTTTTGAGTGGGCGACCCTTACAGAGTAAATCTGATGTTCAGGGGCCCACTTAAATACAAAAATATAAAAAGTATATAAAAATATAGCCAATCTATAAATTAATCATACAATTTTAAACAGCAAACATTAAAATTCCAAAAATATAAAATAAGAAAAAGAAAGCAAAAGAAAGAAAACAGGCTAAGAAAGTCATTTCCTTTGGATGTTGATTAAAATGACCATATAGTGTGATCTGTCATTTATTTATTCATTCTCTTTGTTTACAATGTGTTACAGAAGCAAGAGACTCCACTTCATTGGCTGTTAAAATATAATCATCAATTCAGTGTTCACCTGGACATTGCAAGACTTCTTTTGGATGCAGGGGCTGATTCCAGTATAAAGAATAAGGTAAAATACAAGATATATAGTGGAGTAAATAGTATCATTCAAATTTGTATAAATATGTATGTTTGTCACATGATTACTGCTATTAGATAAGAAATACAACATGTTTAATTGTGTAATTTGTGTTTTTGCGATATCCATAAAGATAATTATTATAAACATAATAAAATAATACTAATTATTATTTATATTATTTTATAAATTGTGAGTGTGTTTAATTATTTAATGATGATGATCATCTTGCTTTAATGATGCTGCTGCTTCTAATGGTTGCTATGGTGATGGTGTGGATGATGATGCTGAAGTATGGTGAGGTTACATACAGTATTTTACTTGGCCTATTCATTTTAATATGAATTTTACTACTGTATTTTTAAAGTTTAACTGGAATCTTTTTAGTAATTTTTAAATTTTTTTATCTGAATTTCAGTAATTTAAAATTTTAACTGGAATCTTCATTTTTGTATAAATTTTTACTCTCTTGATATACTGTATTATGATAATGCCTTAATTAATTGTATCTTGTTATTGTCTGTTTAAAGTTGTTATCATTTTTAGTATTTGACTTGGGCATGGTAATGTATATTTTCTCTATATAGAACAAATATTTTTCTAGAATTAATGAATGGGGGTAGGGGTGGTGGCTAGGTAGTTTAAACAGGTTATACAAGATATATAGTGGAGTAAACGTCATTCAAATTTGTATAAATATGTGTGTATGTCATTTAATTGCTGCTATTAGATAAGAATATAATATGTTGGTGAAATTTGTATTTTGGAGAAATCTCTACTGTATAAACATAGTAATATTAGTAATAATACTAATAACTTATATTATTACATAAATTTTGAGTGTTTTAATAATTTGTGGCAAAGACAAGCCAAACCAGTTACTCGTCGCAAATCGTGATGTAGAAGATGAAAATAAGAACAATTAAAAAAATAATTTTAAAAATAAAAAAAATAATAAATAACTTTTAAAATTTGCTTACAGCTTGAGCAGTGGCTGATTTAGGATTAAAGAATAGAGGATGGCTAGGTAGTGTAGACATGTTGTTCATAAAGGCCTCTTCAGAATGTTTTTTTTTTT